TCACCCACTGATGGGAGACTAGGGCTGTTTTCATCTTTTGACTGTTATGAGTAGTGTGATGACAAACTGATTGGAATCCCATTTCAAATTTTATGTTTAAGTATGTAAGAAATGATAAACTCATTTTCCCATTTACTGAAGCATTTACATTCCCACCAGCAATATACCAAGATTCTACTTTCTCTAGAGCTTCTCCAGGTCTCCTTATTTTACAATTTTTTTTAATGATAGCCTACCTAGTAGTGTGTGGTAGTGTCTATGTATGACTTTTAGGTAATTTTCTCTGTGCATTTAATTAAGCATCCTTTCATGTGCTTATTGGCTTTTTTCTAGCGTCTTGGAGAAATTTCTAATCAGATCCTTTGCCTGTTTTGAATATCTTTTTGTAGTGGAATTTAAAAGAGCTCTTTACACGGGCTACAAGCTGGACCCTTACAAGAGATGATTTACAAACAGCTTCTCCTTGTCTATACTCAAGTTTGTAAGTCCTTACACCTTCTCAGATGTTTATCTGGAAGTATCTTAATTTCTTCAGTTTTTGGTTGGTGAATTCCTGGTTGATAATTTTGTTTTCCTAGCTTAAAGTAGTACCCACTCCCTTCAGCCCCAGAGTCTCTGCTTATCTTTGCACAGGGACCAATTGCTTTTATATTCCTGCTTGGAAAATGTCTATTTGTCATCATGTCTGAACAGTTTTGATCATCCAGCAGTGTGGACCTCTTTGTGCTTATTCTTTTTGGGACTCACAGAACCTACTCAATGTAGAGTTAGTTATCTTAAAAAAAAAAAATCAAGTTTGGAAAGGGTCTGGTCCTTATTCTTTATTCTCTACTCTTTCTCCTTCTCCTCTCCTAGGATTCCAATGATGTATTTGTCAGTGTATTTAATATTGTTCCACGAGTCTCTGAAAAGCTGCTCATTTTTCTTCATTTGTCCTGCTCCTCAAATGGGATCACTTCAACCAACCTAGGATCAAAGTCATTGACTCTTCAGCCTGTTTTAATCTGCTACTGAAACCCTCCACTGCATTTTTCTTGTCGTTTTTCCTACTTTCCAGCTCCAGGATTCATTTGCATCCTTTACAGATGGTCTCTACAGGTTCATATATCATTCTCCTGAAAGCTTCCTCCATTTCTTCATAGCTTCCTTTAGCTTCTTCAGCATATTTAAAATGGTTAATTTAAATTTTGGGTCTGGAAGTTCAATGCCTGGGCTTTAACAGAATTAGTCCCTATTAAATTATTTAGTGAAGGCTTCTTTGCATGTTTCATAATTTTTAGTGGAAAAAAAATAACATTTCAGACATTTTTACCTATTCCATATCTGTTGCTTTCTAGATGTTGTAGCTCTTTTTGATTAGTGGTTTCCCTAAAGCAAGTAATCTGTGGTATATGGTCCCTAGTCTCTCTTCCATAAGCTTCTTAACAAGTATTTTCAGAGATTTCTTTGAATGTGAAGCAGGGAATGAGGGAAACAAAACAAAACTTTTCCTAGTTTAGCTAGGTGCTCTATCCCTCTTCGGGACGTAGTGAAATGCGCAATGCTGTCTGCAACACTGCTCTGGCTTTCACTTTCAACTTCACTAAGCTTAGACACCATAGGCCAAAGAACTTCTGGGGTCTGCTCTGAGCATTACTCTAGCTCTCTGCCTACATGTGGCACTCAAAGCTCTTAGGAATACACAGGCATTTTTGAACGTTCAAATCTCCAAGACATTCTCTCTTCAGCATTTGCTACGCTACTTGGCATTTGACTTTGTGATATAGGGCTCAATTACAATCCTTTCTCCCAGTCTACTGTGGCTGTTCATTATCCTAACATACATGTTAAAAGATGACTACTGCTTTTCTACTCTTCTGTCCTGAGGGATTTTCCACATTAAGTGAGCAAAAGACCAACACCCTGAGCACTCCTCAAAGGGTATCTATAGACTGGTTAGTGAGACAAACACCATTCTTTTCAACTAAGTTCTATTCTTCAAACTAGGCTGTGGAATGCCATCTTCAAAACTTCCTGGAGAAAGCTTGGGGCCAGGTCAGTCATAGGAAAGAACCAAAAGCTTCCTACCATTTTTTAAGTTGCCCTTCAGATTCAGAAATCATGTAGGTGCTGTAAAACTAACTTTGACTATTCTTCAGGATTCTGAAAAAGTCGGTTGTAGAAGTTTCTGCATGATTTTTCAGTATTTCTGTGGAAAGACAGGCACAGAGAGCTGACTATTCTTTTTTATCACCACTCACATAATTTTCTGCTGTACAATGTATATACTACTCAGACCAAATGCCACAAGTAAAACAATTTTTTAAATAAGCTAGGATCTGTACTGTATTTTTAAAGATACAATGTAAAGTTAGGTCTAATTTACCTGACCATCTGGGTGTTTTTACACAAAACTAAAGCTTACATATTCTTTTCTATGACTCATCTTTTATCTACCATGCCACTATTTCAAAGGTTATAACTTAATCATTTTTAATTCATTGGTGAAAGAAGTCTTTTCAACAAGTAGCATTAGACAGCGTAATATTCATGTAAAAAGAATGTTGATCTGCGCCGGGCCACGAGAAAAAAAAAAAAAGAAAAGAATTTTGATCTGTATCTCATACCACATAAAAAATGGTATCTGAAAAATGAATCAAGCACTTAAATGTAAGAATTAACCCAAAAAATTTCTAGAAGAAAATAAGGAGGTTATGTAAAGTTGAGCTAATCAATACCAGTTCAATAATACCTTGGAACTACATATCCACAGACACTAAGAGTTTCTGTATCAGCCATGGTAAATCTGACAAGTGATTTATTCCATAATATCTAAAGAACTCTTGTAAACTCAGCCACTAAAAGACAAACGGCCCAAGTTGGTGTTTGTTGTTGTTTTTAATAGGTAAGGGACAAAGCATAATGTGTGTGACTACAAATCCCAGCTATGCAGGAGGTCAAGATGGGAGGGTAACAGTTGGAAGCTAGCTCAGGCAAAAAAGCTGAAGGACCCTATTTAAAAAAAAAAAAAATTAGACATGGTACATACGTAATACCAGTTACAGGTAGGAGGATTGCAGGATGAGGTCAGTCAGGACAATTTGGGAGATCCTATCTAAAAAGCAAACTAAAGTAAAAAGGGTAAACTGCTTGCTTAGCAAGCACAAATCCCTGAGTTTAAACCACCACAAAAGGAGTAACGTCAACAAGTACTCTAAGAAGGCGTACAAACTGCCAATAAACACATAAAATGACATTCTTATTAGTCATCAAGGTGCAATTCAAAAACCTACTATTTCATAACAATGACCACAATAAAAAAGTAACAACAATCAAAGAGGCAGACATTAAGTAAAGCTGAAATCCTGTGCACTGTTGCTGGGAATGCAAAATGATGCAACCAAGTATAAAAACAGGATGGCAATTCTTCCAAATACTAAATACAGTGTTATTGTCTAATTTTACTACTAAGAATAGGTCAAAAAGTAACTGAAACAATGCTCATACAAGAGCTGATGTACAAATGTTCACAACAGTCACAAAAGAGAAACCACCCAAATGTCCACCTGCTGACGAATGGTTAAGTATAGAGCCTCATACAGTGGAATATGTTCATCTCAGCCACAACAAAGTACTCAATCACACTGCAACACAGGCAAGCCCTGAAAACATGGCAAGTGAAAGAAGCCAAAAAGAAGCCACAAAAGAATGCACAGTGGATATAAATTTATGTACAATGCTCACAGAATAGGCAAAATGATAAACACAAAAGGAAGTTGTGTTCCTTGGTGCTTAGATGGAAAAGGAAGCATTATAAATATTATACAATTTAATGTTATATAGAATATGTCTGTGTGCAGATGTTTGTGAATAAAAAAATTAAAGTATAGAGGTGGGAAGGTGGCCCAGTGGTAGAGCCGCTTGCCTTGTATGTATGAGGCCCTGGGTTCGATTCCTCAGCACCACATAAGCAAAAAGAAAAAAAGCCGGAAGTGGCGCTGTGGCTCAAGTGGTAGAGCGCTAGCCTTGAGCTGAGGGACAGCGGCCAGGCCCAGAGTTCAGGCCCCATGACCGGACCCAAAAAAAAAAAAAAAATCAAAGTATATACACATAAACCATAAACAAATAAATATAAAGGTATGTATTCAGGGTGTTTTTCGTTTTCCTTGAATGTTAAATATGCTCCAAAATAGACAGGGAAGGCTGCATAACTTTATGAATGTAGCAAAAATTACTGAACTAGTGAATTATAGTGAATTATATCCCAAATGAACTATGAAAAAAATTCTGAAGGGATTGTTTTAGGAAAATAATTAATCTGTGAAATCCATTCTGAAGTTTATCTGAGTCCACGTGAACTTCATTTCTAAGTAGATACTAGGGTCACTGTGAATTCCTCTCCAATGCCTCCATCACTGTCACACTTCAATGTCATTTCTCACTGTCACAGTGCCAGTTAGGAGTAGCTTCCCCCATGTCCTCATTTTCTACTATAAATGTAAAAAAACAAACAAGTCAGGTTTTAGGAGATTAAGTTAAAAATGATTAAAGTCCTAAATGACTTCATGCAAGTGTTACACACACACACACACACACTTGCACACCTAGCAAGTGTGCACTTATCGCCACACTGGAGAGTAACATTTATTCCAGGGAAGCCCCTAGAATAGGCCTTTTTGCTGAAGTACAGTTTAACGCCATGGCCTTCATGGGAACATTTTAAATATAAGAGATTTCAGATAAAGTGATCTTACACTTCAGAGAAAGTATGTACAGATGTTCGTGTCTGTATAAAAAAATTAAAAGTATATAAACATAAACTATAAACAAATAAATATAAACATATGTTCACATCCAGAGAATGAATACAATTCTACCCTTAAGTTGCATGTATGATATAAACATTAGACACCTTATATAATCACATAATGTTATTTTCAAGAACAGAATGAAGACATGTTTTCTTTCATCACGTTATTTCACTAAGTAAACGCTAGGTACTTACAAAGTGTCATACTAACCTCTTACTGTAAGCTTGCTGTACAGCTGTGAATTCATTTCCTTGTCTCTCTGAAAACGCCGAAATTCATCAATCGCTTCACGAGTGATAGTAACAGCCAAGACAAACCCCTATTTAAAAAGGCAAACTATGTTACAAACACAGAAAACAAGCTTTCCTTTTCCCCTTCAATCAATCACCTCTGAAGCATGAGATAATGAGAGCAATACAAAAATAAACAACAAAATGCTATAGAGACACACAATACACACTAAACAATTCACAACCCTATGGTCAGGCACAGTGGCTCAAATCCACTCATTGCAGCTACTTGGGAAGTAGTGACTATGTGGGAATGACAGTCTGAAGGCTGCCTCGACAAGCAGGAAGACACTATCTCAGTAAACAAGTCCACAATCCTAGCCTTGTAGAGAGAATAGTAGGAAGAATACAGTTCAAGGTTGGCCTAGGCAAAAGCAAGAATCACTATCTAAAAAAATAACCTAAAACAAAAGGGGCTAGGGATATGGCTCAAGTAGTAGTATACCAGATAAACAAAAATTTGCCCACAGTACCACCATAAAGAAAGGTCCCCATGTAATTGTAACCTCTCTGTATGGTATTTTCACAATAATTTTTTTTAAAAAAGAAAGGTCTTAGAGTCTCATAATTTTTAGAATATCTAAGAGAATGCCCAAGAAATAAAATTCCTATCATATGTACATATGTACTTCAATCCAAATAACAAAAAAATACTTAGTAAATTAAAGGAAATTACTCAGTAAACTGATGAATTCTATAAAAACTTAGCCATTCAAATGCAAAATTAACTATAACTGACATAAAGTCTCCAATACTTTCTGCATTAGAATATTTCTTCTCACAGAATCAAAGCATTTATGAATACAAAACAATTCCCAGATAGAATACTCACTAATCGGTTTTCTTACCCAGTGCATTATTCAAACAAGAGGACTAGAGAACAAAAGTATAGTGCTTTTTCCTATCATGTTTTAAGTAAACACCCGGATAGATGAGTGCTATTCTAAATAAAACTTCTACACACCTTCAACCTGTTCTGAAACATGCTGCACCACTAACACATGGTAGTGTCTCTTTTAAAAGTTGCAAATGTAACTCTTGATACATTACAAGGATATTCTTCCAAGTGAATTGCCCATGATTAAATGAAGTATCTTCAATAGGCTTCTTATTGCTGATAACCTTGTTTTGATATACTATAAATATCAAGACACTGGATTGACTTCCACTGAAAATCCAACAATTTTTACTTCAACCAAATGGCTGTAAGCAGATCACTGGAAAAATGTGTGCTATGGTCACTGAAATCATTTCTTCTCCAGTATCTTACTGAAAAAAACTCTTGTGTGTAGAATGACCTACAAACATCAGACAGAGGGTGCAGTTCTTCCCAACTAAGCCCCTGCATCTCTTCATACGCCCTCTCCCCTAATCACAAACATCTCCACATTATTTTTAATTCCTCTGACACAGCGTTCCTTGGGCCCTTTAACCAACTATCCATCCCTATGAACATCAAATGTTCTCCTCCTTTAGTCTGCATTGTGTGCCATGGAGCCCTTCCGACACTCCATTACCCTTGACCCCATCTCATCTTCCCTCACTGCAGCACAATTCAAGCTGCCTTCTAACAAGGCAGATGTCCCAGTTCTTTCTGTGTTAGCCGTTGTTCACCATCTCGTTCCCCTCTCCACTCCTATGGCTTCCTGGATGGCACCTCCTGCCAAGTTTCTTTGATGACTGAGCACAGCCAAGTTCTCCAGCTATTCCACTGCCTCAACCAGGGCTGGTTGTCCTCCAAGTGCTCGTTGTGTTCCCCACACCAAGGACTCCAGCCTGACCACTCTGTGTGGCAAGGCCACTGGGCTGGTGTCATCCTCTGCTCTTCACCCTGCATGAGCCAGTGCTCCCTCCCCCAGCCACAATCCCCTCAGACTCATTCTTCAAGGAACAGAAATGTTCCATTACTCCTTACTGTTCATGTTCTTTCACAGAAACACAATGCTGCCCCAACCTGATGGACGGACAGATTTCTCACCCCACTTCCTGCTCCAAACTGCTTTACCCTCCTACCCCAGGGGACTGTGAAGTACCTCATTAGGTCTCTATTTTCGGTGCTTACTGGTGGGTCTACTGGGAGAAGGGTACTAAAGGAACTCCTGGGTCCCCTGAGAGTAAAGCGAAGTAGGACCTGCACTTAGGTCCCTTAGCAACCGACCCTTTCCTAATTAACAGCTTTATTAACTTATAATTCACATGTCATACAACTAATCCCTGAATACAAGGTACTCTGGGTGCGTTGACAAAACTGAGCAGCCTCAGTCACATCCCATTCCCACCCCAACCCTGTTCCCTCCTTAGCAATGACTGAATAATCTGTTCTCTGTCTCTGTGGATTTACATATGCTAGATAACATGTATTTGATCAGTATTTTGAGTAACTGCTAAGCTCTTCTCTAACGTGGTTGAATGACTTTCCGATCCCACTAGCAAAGAATGAGGTTTCTTCATACTCTCTTCAATTCACTTCCTAATGACAAGAAAGCAGGTCATTTTTTCTGGTATTCATAGGTTACCTGGCTATTTCCTTTGGGTAAATGTCTGTTAACATCCTCCCTCGATCTTTTTACTAAGTTTTCCCTTAGTTGTTGAGTTATAAAAGTTATTTATTCATTTGTATAAAATGTTTCATTCAATGTGTAACTTGTAAATATGACCTTATATTTTCTCCAATTAAGAATTATCTTCTTACTTTCTTAATCCTCTGCTGCACAAATGTTTTAACATTTGATAAATTTAAATTACCTATTTTTTCTTTGTCACTGGGGCTTTTGGTATCTATTGTTTTCTTTTAGGAATCTTGATTAGTGTTGGCTCTTACATTTAGGTCTACAAGCCATTTTAAGTTACTTTTTGTGTTCAATATAAGGTAGGAGTCTAACTTTGTTCTTTTGCTAACATTCTTTGAAGATTATAGGATAAAGTCCTCCAATAAAAATGCTCATTCCATTTTTAAGCTTCTTGATATTTATTAACAAACAACTCTCTCAAAGATCAGCACAGATATTGATACTAACAGTGGGTAAATGCCAGAGCATATCATAGATAACTATGCTCGGCACCAATGCCTATTTCAAACTTGCTAATTAAGTACATAAAAAAATGTATGCATTCATCCACTAACTACTTTGTATTTATGTCCCATCTAACGTTAGTTTCATTCACCCTACAATTAAGTCTACATGAGTGAACACTGAACTTGTCCTAGAACAAACTAGGGACAAGTCGCTAGTTGAGGAAGAGGCCTACTTAAGAGCAGACCACTAGGACTTCCAAATCTGAAGGTCACAGAGTAGGGAAAACTGAACACTGTACTCTTCCCCAAAGGGAAACATTTTACTGGTTATGTTGTCTGTCCAGATATTTCTATCATCAAAGGAAGCAATACAGTTTTCTATTATCTATACAAGCTGAAAACTAATGAAAGCTATCAAGATATACTCAGTGGTAAGTACCATCAACCTTTCAAAAACTCCATGCCCTGAGATATCAAATAGAAACATCCTGTATAGCATCAAATACTTTGAAGCATTCACTATCAGGAGAGTAATTCAACTGACCATACCAGCCCAGCAAATATGCCATGGGCACAAAAGGAAGCAGGGCTAGTCAGACGGGTGCAAAAAGCCCAAAGTAGGGCTCTTCATAACTCTTCCAGCTGAGAGGATCTAGAAACTCCAGGAGCACTTCAGGCAATGTGCTGCCAATATGCTACCCAGAGGGTATGAAAGAATTAAATGATAGGTCCCTGTGTACTCTTTTAACATATTCAATGATCCACAACGACAACTTCACATTTAAAGTCTAATCAGCTACTAAACATTATCAGCAACACAGCTGCATTTCGAAAGTCTTTTGTTACCAGAGGAGCCCAGTAGGTGTAGAGGTAGCCTATTTTCAATGCCGGCACAAACTGTGAGCAGGACACTACCAGAAAATACAGATTCAAGAAGAACTTGAACTGTTCATACAAAACCTAAAAAGAAAAGGAGAAAATGAACACAATCCCTTCAAGAAAGATTTACAATATTATCAAATTAAATTCTGCACAATACGCAAATATACATCCGTCAAACAGGGAGACTGTGCTGATCCACAGTAAACTTAATTTTGACATTGGATTTATAAGGCTAATCCAAATACAAAGAAAGTTAGTTATTCCCCCAATAATATTTAAAATAAACTGGGGAAAAGAAACGCCATTTCTAGCTTTGCATATTTACCTAAATGTTTACATGCACATAAAGTAAATGATAGTGAAGTTTTCCTAAATTTAGCAAGTCAGGAAGTACACAAATTTGTTAAATATCAATTTCAAAACTCATAATGGAAAGTCTAATCAACCTTAGATTTATGAAATTTTTTAAGTAAATAACACACTTTTTAACACTGACATTCTAACTCTATAAAGATGGAGTGAACAAGCAAAGAAGCATATGCATATCTTCATGAGAAACTTACCAATATGTCTCCCTCAAAACAGAAAAATATAAAAATAACAGAACCGTTTTCAGGAAGACATCAATCTCTTTTTGGTTGCACTGAGGTCTGAACTCAGGATACTAAGCTTGCTTGCTCAGTTGGAGCTCTATCATCTGAACTATACCTCCAGCCTCTGCTTTTTGTTTTGTGTTGGTTATTTTAGAGATGGCACTTTGTAAACTTTTCTGCTATCTGGACTGGCTTCAAACCACAATCCTCCAGATTTCAGCCTCCTAATAGCGAGCATTACAGACATTGTCCACCAACACTCAAATTCTATAATCTTTTGATAGGTAATCTTTAACACTACTTTTAAATATAAAATACATCTCATCAATAAAATTTTAGAAATTCCAACAATATAAGATTTTATATTTGTTTTTCCATTCAAATAGTTATCTCTCTAAAAAAAAAGAACAAAAAAGTTATCTCTAAGAAGAAAAATTCAAACAGTAATAGTTCAAATGACACACTATTATTAAGAATGATTCAACTATCAATACTCTAATTTTAAAATTCAAAATAAGTATTTACCTTGGCCTAAAGTGCCTTGACCCCAGTTTCTATATAATGAACTTACCTTCAACATCATACAATTATGTGTGTGATGAAAAACTGAGCTACACTGGCAATATATTCATAATCATGTTCAATTGCTGTCTAAAAATGTTTTGAATTAGTTCAGAAATTAATCTCAGCAGGAAAGTAAGTTCTCTTCTCCCTCAGCAGTTTCCTAAAATCTCAGCATAAATTATATCTATTAGCAATTCAGAAATTGCCATTCATGCTAAAAATGGCATAGAATTCCTACCGTGTAATTACCAAATGTTTCTAAAATACTACATTTTAGATTAAAAGACTAATTTCAGGGACATGCCAAGAAAAAAATTATGTACATGGTACCAGTTGTATAGACACATACATCAACAGGTATTCTCAGGACACAATCAACCTAGGCAGGCTATGTGAATCTACACTGATCAAAGTTAAGCTGCACTACTGGCTCTAACCCACTATAATTAACTGTATACTGAATGAACTTGCTGACCTTCCAGAAAATGTATACTGCTTAGCAAATCAGTGAGTATTTAATAATTCAAACCTAAGGAGAAAAGAGTGACTTCATTCAATAAAGATGAGAATGATTATCTATCTGAAAGATTAATTTACATTTTATTATCCCAACAAAAGATCAGTCTTCTGATTATGGAGCCTTTAGCTTTGTGTGTTTTAATAAAACACAAAACAAAACAACAACAACACATTAAATACAAAACATTTGGCAGCCAGTACAAAGTCAGCATGATTTTTTAAACCCAAATATACAAGATAGAATAGCTTTTATCTCATGAAATCAAGAGCTTTCCTTACAAAACAGAATAGGAATTAAGAGCTAGAAGATGACAAAAATTTTGATACTGAAATATCTGATATATATGATGCCTGAATTTTCTTTCAACAGGTCACCCTTGTTATTCTAACTTCTAAGTATCTAATGTTAAAAGAAAATAAAATCTTATACATGAAAACATGTGTATGTGTGTTATTCAGCACTAACTTCCTTTGCCTTCAAAAAGATACATAAATCTCTGAGATTAAAAAATTATAAGCTGGGTACCAGTGACATATGTCTGTAATCTTAACTATTCAGGAGGCTGAGATCTGAGGATCGCAGTTCAAAGCCAGTCGGGGCAGAAAAGTCCATGAGACTCTTATCTCCGATGAACCACCAGAAAATCGGAAGTGGCGCTGTGGTTCAAGTGGTAGAGCATTTGTCTTGAGCTGAAGAGCTCAGGGACAATGCTCAGGCCAGAGTTCAAGCCCAGGACCAACAACAACAAAAATTTACATGCTACTTTTCTCTCCAAATTCCTAGTCCTTAAACTTAGGATTTTTTTTATCAGTTAATTTTCCTTTTCTTCATTTTATGCTATTTATATTGCTACACTAACACAAAATATGTTTATGAAAAACTGAAGGCAATAATCAAATTGTACATTTTTGTGAGATGTCATTAAAAATGCAAATGAATTGTTTAGCAAATAATCAGAGTCTCCACGAGTATTTTCACAAGACAAAGGGAGCTAGCAAGCCCTGACATATAAGCATTCTTTAATGATGCAATGGTCTTACCCCAGGTATAAAGGTAAACACATTGTATTTTTGATTTTTTATAGAATTCCTGGGATGTTTTTCTTCACACTTTTCTGGACATCCAAGCCATACTGTACGAGCTTTCAGTTCTTTCTTTCTTTGACATACATTTACCAGCCAATCACAGCAGCTGCATGAAACAAAAGAAAGTACATGCTTTAGAGAAAAGAAAGTTTAAACTAATTCCACACACTAAACACCGGTGTTTACCAGACACCAACAGCACTCTATCCAATACCAATCTGTGAGTGAAGTTTTTCTCAGCATAGGTTGGTTAAACAGATTCAAATGTAGCAATAAAATAGTGAACGTCTTGTATATATGCACAATGGCTTCTAGAACCCTAGCAGAATTATCATACCTGTTTATAGACACTCTTTCTGGTAAAATAAAACTTTTAATATTCAGCAGCAATCAGTACTGTACATATTGAGAAAAAGATAGCTATAGGTTACTGGTAATTCTCAGTATACCCATTTAGTGATTCAACAATAAATATCCTTAGATATCAACCAGTCTATTGCCCTTCTCTGAAATAATCTTTCTCACTCTTAATAGTGACTTTTCCAGTATTACTAACCATAGACTTATGATTCAATTTAATATCTAAAATGGATACCAAAGCTCAAGGTGATAATCTAACAATAATGACAATTTAGCTGTGTTTCCTCATTAACTCTCTTCCTCAAGGCAATATGCATTTCCACTTTATATTCTGTCCTCCTGAATAGTGGTAGGCCTGGCCAGGAAGGTTTAGAGTCTCCAGGAGTGGATGTGAGGGACCAACATGACACTAACTTTTATCTAAAAGAGGGCTGGGGTAGTTCAAAAGGTAGAGCACTAGACTATCAAGGAAAAGGTCCTGCGCTCAATTCATCCTTATTCTAAGCACAAAACAGCCATGAATTTAAACTTTACTATTAAAAAGGCTCATGCCTTTAATCCTAGCTACTCAGGAGGCTGAGGTCTGAGGATGGCGGTTCAAAGCCAGCCCAGGCAGAAAAGTCATTTGCAGATAAGTAGATGGACCTGGTGAAAATGATATTCAGTGAAGTAAGCTAGACTCATAGAGTCAGAGGGTGCATGTTTTCTCTCAGGTGTTGCTATTAGATCTAAACTATAAACATACTTCAGGACCATACACTATATACACAATCAAACTGATTGAAGAATAGTAAATGTAAGAGTGAGATGCCCTGGTGTAACCCATTTGAAGTTAACACACAGTTCAGTGAAGTAAATGCCAACATACTGAAACATGTCTTGACTCAGATGTGGGTGGGGACTAAAAGAAGGAGGGTGAAGGCTAGGTGCAGGTGGCTCACATACTGGTAATCCTAGCTACTCAGGGGGCTTAGATTTTAGAATTGAGGTTCAAAGCTGCCCAAGCAGACAAACTAGAGAAACTCTCATCTCTAGTTAACCACCAAAAAGCCAGAAATGGAGCTGTAACTCAAGTGGTTGAGTGCTAAGCTCCCAGATCCTGAGTTAACCGCCCCCCCCAACACAAACCAAAGGAGGGTATAAAGAATGAAAAGAACAATGGTGGCTTGGTAGAGCCACAGTACTCAAATGTGAAAACTTGAAGAGATGGATGGGACAGGAAGGTGACTGCCCAAGATGCACTGTTCACATAAACCGACATGTTAAATTGAAACTGAATTGGAGCAAAGGCCTACCACCAACATGGAGACACACATTGGGTCTGAGATACATCATCATGTATGTTAACCTTGCATAATCATGCCTTCTTACGCTGACTGTACTAATTTCTATTTCCACCAACAGGGGGATCCTTTCCCCCTACTCCTCACCAACATCCGCTATTTGTATTCTTCTTGATGGAAGCCATCCGATTAGCATGAGATGAAATCTCAATGCTGTTTTTATTTGGATTTCCTTTATGGAAGCTGAACATTTCTCCATTCTTCTTCACCACTGAATACATTCACAGTGGGCTTGAGGTCTGAAAAGCATGGACTATTCTAAAACTGTTAACTTAACAGCCAGAAAATAATTCCCAGACAGGAAGACAGGTAGTCTCAAAGTTAAGACTAAAAGCCATAACCGGGAAGAATTTGTTCAGTGACAGAGCGCTTGCCTCACATGTGGAAGACCCTGGGTTCAATCTGCAACACCACTATAAAAAATGTTAAGGAGCATAAACTCCAAAGATTAAAAAGTGTATTATCATAACAGCAAAAAAGGACATGCAAACTTTTTTGAGTTGTAGAAGGAAACCAAAATTATTAAAGATTTTTGAGGCAAAATAACGTAAAAAAAAATGTGAAAAAAAAGAGCACCTAAGTCTTTGGAAGAACGTATCTGTGAGCTTTACTTTAAAAAAAATTCTATATATGCTAAATACTTTCCAAATTATTGAGAAAAATACTTTCCCACTTATATATTCATTGCCAAGTTCAATACTAGGTAAACACAATAATGCACTTTTACTTCAATGTTTTAGAATTAGCAATATCTCTATCATCAAAGTAGCATTTAATATTAAATAAGACATTTTTACGCATACCAAGATTCTGTCTTCTAAAATTTCAGTCATAACTAATTCTCAATATGCAGACAGGCTCCTTCTCATATCCCTCAAATTAAACAATTATGGCATTCAGTAACAGGTAACTTCAGTTACCAAAACAAAGCAACACAGTCCTCATGTTTTCTTAAAAGATGAGCACTTTCTCATGCTCCTGCACCCCCAAAAGGTTTATAAATTAATTGAAAATGTGAAGGCTATTTAGAACCAAGAATAATCCCAGCACTTGATACCCCAGGCCCTTCTCCCTTCATATGGAAATACCCTTCCTGGCTCCACTTTCCTTGGGACAAAGTGATTTTTGATAACAAGTGAAATGTAAATCTCGTGAGAAAGACCATCAACTCAGATCATAGAACAACATAATCAATTATCCTGTGACAACTACAGGAACATGTATTAACTCACATCAAATAAAATTAAGAGACTTTTAAGAAGAGATTTAAAATAGTTCAAGTTTCTTTTCAAACTCTCCAAGTTGGAATCTTTGCCAAATAATAAAGCAAGAAAGTGAATTCTAAGACATAAAAAATTAGAGCCCATTCAGTTTCTGAAGTTAAAAATATCTCAAAAATGAGCCTTAACTACTCTAAGATCTACAAATAGAAACATATTGAAATATTTACCACTCATTTATACTTGTTACAACCTATTTGTATTGAGATATTTCCTTTCTATAATTAATTAATTATATATGTCTTCTCTTAGGATCATATCTAATAATTTTAATAAAATATATTTAATAATGTTTGGTAGTTAGGAAATAAACTGCAAACATTCAAAACTAAAAATCTGTAGACAATGAATAAATAAAAACAAGCTAACTGTTGAGTGTACAATTTTCTCTATATGATACAATTTCTAATTTCCAAGCAATCTCTCTCTGTGTGGCAGGTGCCTACTGAGCAAGAAGAGTCTGGGGATATCTCAGGTTACTTCCTGTCCCAGATGGCAATAAGGCATTCATTAGCACCCCATCAACTGATTAGAGTCAGCTAAGACAATTTAGCTAGCTTTTCCCTCAGGATCACAATTTATGTTACTTTATAGACACATCTAGCATTCGTAAGGAATTCTCCCAAATTCCTCCAACTCCAAAGGACAGTTTGTGTACCACACCTCATGAGCTAACCTAAAAATCAAGTCTGTTTACAAGAACAACTTTTTTGCAAACTTCCAAAGAGGTAATAAAAAGGATAATAGACAATATATTTTTCTACAATTACTTAATTTCCTTTTATAGACAAAGAAATATAAACTTCTAGTGGCCACAAAGGTACTGACTCTAACTTTGAAAAACAGAAAGACAGTGAGAGTTCTAATTCATTGACAGGCTCTGTTTAAGTCACTGGGGCATCACTCAGCATTATCTCTTCACACTTGGAGGGGTGGGCATAGTGTCTGAGACAGACAAAATGTGCTTTATCTACCAGACAAATCTAAAACAAATCAAACCAATTTATTTCATGTCCAGAAAATCTGTGTGAAATTTGAGTTTTAACTTGCTGGTTAAAGTAAAAGAATCATATTCCAAATTAAAAAATTAAGGCTGATTATTAAATTGCATTTCATAGGATTAGAAAAGAACACCATTTACAAATGATGGTCCAGTAACCAGGTTTAGTTCTGCCATGCATTTAAATCACTAGTTTTCTCCAGGTTTTAACCACTAGCATCTCATAAAAAAATGAATTCAGTCTTCCCTTTCAGGTCAGCACTGTGGATAAAAGAATGTTTAGTATTTATATGAACATACGTGAGCACTCCTACTAAATATACCAGGAGCTAAGCGTATAAATAAACTTCATGTACACAATAATCAGGGTAGCCAATGGATGACAAACCTGGCACAGAGGAACTTCCATCCACCACAGACAAACCATTCCACTCCTCTTTTCCTTCGTGTAATTCTTGCTCGTGGTAACGTGTGGTAATCACTTTCATCATTCTCAAAGCCTTCTTCAGACATCATTAGTGGCATTTCATCCAAATGGGCAGACTCATCCTCCAGCTGGTATCTAGTAAGACAATAGAGCTTAGCCAAGCTAAGTAGTCTTCTGCTACCAAATGTTTCATGTAGGCCAATATCTGGCCCAATTTTACCAATCACCCTCTCTAACTCAAAGTAAACTGCATTCAGCTGAGGCAAACCATTATAACAATACACAGGATATCTCTATCCTTTGTTTAGGAAAAAAGAACCAAAGTAAAAAGGTAAATAATAGGCTATGCAGGAGGCCTAGGTTAACAAAGCCTACAACATTTGGGCTGTAAATACAATCTCAGAGCAGCCTCTGGCACATACTGTTGGTTAACAGCATAAACAACGCTGCCCAATATCCACTCCATAGACTCAATTCAGAATATTCCTCTCAAATCTGAAATGTTACCACTAGCCAAAAATGTACACTGCCAAGTAACACCTATACACTGTTACACAACTTCAGAGTCATCGAAGTTCTAGAAGTGGCTTTTGACAGACATGGTTGTCCATACATGGAAAGCTCCGAATGCCATCATAGGTTTTGTTGTCAGTCAACATACTGATATACACAAGGAATGATTGTATGTCCTGTTTATTTTGTCTATGTTACTCCTTTCATTAAAACGTTCTATTCAATAAAAACAATCTCCATAACTAGCATATGTTTTGGAGCTCAACAGTCATCTTCTGACTCCATATAAAAAGCAATCTAGGGCTGGGAAGATGGCTCAGTGGTAGAGTGCCTTCCTTGCATGCATGAGGCCCTGGGCTCAATTCCTCAGCACCACATAGGCAGAAAAAGCCGGAAGTGGCCCTGTTGGTCAAGTGGTAGAGTGCTAGCCTTGAGATGAAGAGCTGAGGGACAGCTCCCAGCACCAGATCTCAGGCCCCACTAGCAGCAAAAAAAAAAAAAAAAAATGCAATCCACCCACCTTGAATTCATATACTGTTTTCCTACAACTACTTAAATAATAATTTTAAAATGCTAAGAAAATAAAAGCAATCTACCATTCATACTGTCACTTCATCTGTCTTCAATCACAATCACAACCTTTTTTGGGACCAATCACTTTTTCAGAAAGTATATGGTGACTCAAAAGCTGTTAATTTTACATAAAACTTTTGTGAAAGGTATCATCTCAATTTGAAAAATGAAAAAGCAGGCTGCTGTAAGCAGTTACTTAAGCTGAAATCTTCCCTCACATCCTCCAAAATTCCTATGAAGAATAAAAAGAGCATAGACCAACAAGAATAGAATCCTGAAACTCAATTTACATGTACAGAGCCAATTACACACAAAGGAATATCCAGGTAGAAGCCTGTGGCTTCTCATGGAGCCCAAGGGCAGCTAACTACATGTTTAAAGTGCTAAGAAAAAGAGAGAAAGAAAAACAAACCAACCTATCAATCCAGAATGCTATGTCCAACAAAGATATACTCAGATCAAGGAAAACTAAGGATCTGTCAGCAGATGTATCCTGAAAGAATGCTAAAGTTTTAGGATGATTAAAAATTACATCAGAAGGAAACCTAAAATTTAGGAATAAAGGAAGGGACTATCCAAAGTAAACACAATAATACTGTGTGGTTAAATTTTAAATGAAAATAGATCATAATTAAGGAGGGGTAGATGATTCTAAACATAAAATTCAGATGATAGCACTAATACTGGCCAAAGAAGATAGCTATGTATATAGCAGTTCTGTGAGTGGGATTGCTCAGCAGGGGCACTATTAACATACAGACCACACAGATTAATGCACACAACACATACATCTTTGTTGTGGAAGACTCTCCAAGGAATGCAGAACGTTCAAGCAGCAACCCAGCCTGGAGGCACTACCCTCCTGACACAATGAAGAATGTCTCCAGACACGGTCAAAAGGTACCAAGCATACAAAAACACTACCTACAGGCAGTACTTAATAAAACAGTATATAACATTAGAAGATAAAAATAGGGTGGGAGGCCAGGAGCCATGGCTTTCGCCTACAATCCCAGCTACGCAGCAGGCTGAGAGATCTGAGGATTGCGGCGTGAAGACAGCCTGCGCAGAAACGTCTGTGAGCCTTTTATTGCCAATTAACCACAAAAAAAAAAAAAAA